TTACCTTTCTCGGGACATTCAAGATTTAGGGTTCTTGGAGAAAGATACTAATTACAAAAAGATAAGAGAAAAAGGGGAAGATTTGCAGAAATTTGGAGATCAAGAGAAAAGTAGGTCAAAATTTGTTGTGTTTTATCAAGAACAAAATGATAAACTGATCATAGAGCCATGATTTATGAAGTGGATGCTATGCAAAAGACAAACCTCATATTCAAGACCTAAATAGAGAGAGAGAGAGAGAGAATGACAGCTGTTTCAATGGAAAGGTTGCACATGAGAGTGAGATCTTGAAGATGTTGACTTTTAGGGACAGCAATAGCCTGACTTTGCTTCACACGTTGCACAACATTTATTGTAAGAAATTTGATGTGCTCCAAGTTTTCAAGCATTCTAATATTTTGAAGAGTTAAAATAATCACCTCTCAATGACTATAATTAATGAACTGCTGGCATAAAAATAATTACTTTAATTAGGATGATTAGCAAAACACTATTGTCTTGTTTTTTATAAACTTAATCTCTGGTAGTTGGACTTCTTTAATTTAATGAAATCTCGATCGGTAGATTTAATTTTACTGCTCATACCAGATAATTTACCATATTAGATCACAGGCACTCACACACGCATGTGTGTTGATCCAATAATAATAAATTATATATTGTAGAAAGCAATTAATTACCCTCTCTTTATGTGGAAAAGAATTTTAGTATTTCAACAAATTTTGACATAATTGTAATCACAATCATATAAACTCAAGCCTAAAAGTAAACTTGGCTAATAATTGCCACCATATATAGAAGTATAGTTCTAAACGTTAATCAACTCAAACCCATATGAGAAGTCTAATTATTTCAAGTTGCACATTAAATGAAACCTTCATTCTTATTCCACACACACAATATATAAGTTGGAAACTGTATATGCTAAAACTGATCGATTGTAAAACAATCAACCACCATAAAATCAAGACTCTTCGGGCAATACAATCAAGCACACTAGTGATCAGAACAAACATTTCAAAGTTAAATAACGCGAGAAAATTAACTGTAATTACATATCCAGTACAAACGTTTCAGAATTGGGACCATATAATCATGTGTGGTTCTAGTCCACCTAAACCCACCTGAACAGCCAGCTAGGGCATGTATAACTTGCTTCCGCACTTGCACCTCCATGCTTCCGGGTAGTACTCTGCAGTGACGGGTGTACCCGGGGGCACTGGCAAGTGAACTGGCTTGCACGGCTTGCACTTCCCGCATTTCGAGTTGCACATAGGGGGCGATGAGCCTGGCCCACCCAATAGCCTTCTTGGCTGGCTCACGCTCGATTGTACCCAATGGGTAGGCTCCCAAGTCCCCTTTCCCTCCAAATTTTGAAATGTTGACTTCAAGTAAAACGAGGTTTATAAGGTCAATTACAAAATTGAATTTTCTTTCATCAAGATTATAAATATATCAGGGAAACATTAAAAATAAATGAAAAATATGTCAAGTAACTTGAAATAATTGATAAGTTTGTCCAATTAATGCCTACTAGCTCATAAAAAACAAGCACAATGTGCCCAAAATTTGACCAAAAAAAAAATAAAAATCATGCAAATGCTGTCACTAACTAATATATGTCCACCAATTCAAAAAGGCTGGACTTTGTGGGGGCTATTTGGAATATTTTTGCAATTCTAACTTTATATGTGCAGAATTTTCTGTTTGTTGCCTTTACAATTTTCCTACTTTACAATGTTATTGCCTAATAATCAATCACCTCTGTTCTTAGTTCAAATTATAAATGAAGTTTTAATCCGAAATTAACTAAGCAGAACAGAGTAAAAGAGGATAGAAATTGTACTCGCTATGTGTTCATACCTCAAACCAATCGTTAACAGCTTTGAGAGCCGACAAACACGGAATCTCTGCAAAAAGAAGCAAACGAGAAAAAAACGATGGAAGAAAACTCTGAAGAATGTATACATTCAGACAACCTCAATAGTCAATAGACTCAATACATATGCTGTCATGAATTCGAGTCCCTGAGTTTTACTTACAAATTCCGAAAAATTTCCATCTTAATACTTTCTATGTACATTTTGAAGGAGATTTTATATCATAAAGTAGTTATATATTAAAATATATATCATAGAACTTAAAACAGAGAAAAATCTCAATGTTCAATATTAATCGGGACAAAAAATGTACCGTAAAAACAAGAAGCTTCGTGATCGACAATATTCCAAGTTGCGTAAACACAAGCCGAGAACAAGAATGTAAGAGAAACAGCAAATTTTAACTTCTTAATAAGCCTAATTCTTGTAATAATCTTCTTGCAGCACTCCATGAATCCTCAGAAAAAAGAAGAAAAAAAAAAACAGAACAGTAGTAATAATTAATTGTAAGTGTAAAAAATATAATAATGAAGCCTCTATATAGAATAGAAGTACCCCGAAAACTCACTCCATCTCCATGCAACAGTTTTCACGTGCAAACCCTCAAACTCCCTTCAGTTTTCGAAGTGGGACACAAAACAGAGACATGAAATTGAAATGAAAATGTGGAAACAAGATTTAGGAACAATAATGGTGCACTAAATTTTCCTCTGCATTTTGCTATGTTTGGTGGTTGGATAGTTTTGGTGCAGGCATTTTGTTTTGTTTTTCTTGGCTGTTTGTAACTTCTTTTTAATTTTTATTTTTTTTACTATTTCCCAAACTAAGTAAAAGTAATGATCAACAACTCCCACCCAATTTTCCCCTGCATCATCCCTATACCTTTTTACCCAGGATTTCAAATTAATTAGCATATTATGCCATAACAAGAAGAAACAAATGAAACAAAAGTATGTTGTTTTACAATATAAGTGTACATTTTTATTCAAAAAAAAGTATGATGGGTCCACTCGATTAACCTACAAGCTGCTTTATCCCAAGAATTTGGGAATGGGATTTTCAGTTTCATTTTGGTATTTTATTTCGTGTTTCGTTTCATTTGAGTAATAACACGTATACATTGTGGAAAATCAATTATAAAAACTTGGATTTGACTTTTTTCTATGGTTAAATATTTAATTCAAGTTGAATTAAATTTTGTAGAAAAATTTTACGTTCTGAATAAGTACTCGTGGTATATTTATTTTTTCAAAAATAATTTTCACTGAGTGAGAAATAAATATTTAAAGTTAGCCAAAAATGGGCACGTAAAATGGTGGTTGTGAGATTCAAATGGTCAAAAGTTTTATCTCTAGACTGTTAAATGAGATTAACCTTGATGATACTTGGTACTTGCCAATTAAGCTCGACTTGAAATGACCTTGGATGATTTGGGCTAGCATTTATTTGCAATACTGAAGCCCAAGTTAAAATTCAAACCGAATTAGTTTGGGCTCAAGTTTTTGACCCAATCCGTGTGAAACCTATATATTTTTTTTCCAAATCAAGTTTTTTCCCAACTCACAAGAGTGGATAGTTAATTCATTATAGGGCATATATATATTTTTTTCAATATTTCAATTTCCTAGATTCCAAAGGCAAAAAGATGCAACAAATACTATTAAAACCACGAATTAAAATATGTAGTAACAATTGATAGTTTTAGTTTTTTGTAGGCCAACTTTGTGGGTTGCTCGAGCAGTGTACCTGTGTAGAAATACAGTGCCATTATTTTAATCTTTGATGTTTAATAATAATATGGATTTCATTGAGACTTGAAAATCATATGCATGGTTTTTTTTGTGTAAGATATGAAGTCTAGCTTTTGTTGACACAAAACATTATATGTGACACTGAAAAGGGTAAAAATTTAATTTAGATACACCATTAATGTCCCATAGGAGGAACAAATATTGAAGGAAAGAAGCTAGAGTCAACTAGGGAATCTCAAACAGAACACAAAACAAAGTCCAAAAAATGCAAAATTAAGACAGCCTTGTATTGCACTGTAACATTAAAGGCAAAACTAAGGCTGAACTCACATGGATAAATAGGTAACCATTTACTATTAGGATATGTTTGGTTTGATAAATATAAAAATTTTATGGAGTCATCGGATGGTTTTCTTATGAAATCATCCACCACTTAATGTATTGACATCTGTCCAAATTGTATTTATTGTAGGACACGTGTGAATACATTATTGATGAATAAGTATGAATAGCTCCATAAGTCGAGCTATTTGATGACTCCATAGCAAAACTGTGATAAATAAGTTGCCTTTTATGTTACAATGCAATACAAAATGGGAGGGATTAATTTAATGAAGGAAATGAGAAGGGACTTGATGAGATGTAAAATAATTTTACCTTATTTGATTTGATTTAATTTAATAGGAAGAGAGGGGACAGAGCACTAGACCCAATTTGATTTAAAATTGAAATGGAGCACAAACAAAGTAAAAATGATTGTTTTCCTCAATGATATGAGAAATAAAAAATTGAAAGAGTTTAAATAACAAGGCAAAACATAATTTAAAACTTATAAATATTTATATGTTTCAATTTTTTCCTCCTCAGCTTCATTAACATAATAAAAAAATTAAAAAAAAATAATTATTATACATTTTTAATAAAAAAATTTGTTTTATAATTAATATTTTATTATTTTACATTATATCATATAAATTCACAATCTAAAAAATAATTAAAATTTGCAGATTTTTTTTTTATAAAAAATTTATCACTTTCTTCTTTAAATTTTATTTTTACAAATATAATTCGAAAACATTTCCCCCTCTTTGTTAGGATGGACCGATTTTACAATTTTTTTGTGCCGATTTTATATTTTTTTTGTATGGTATCTGGATTTATAGAATAAAGTGAATTACAGTTGAAAAAATGTGATTGATTGGAGTTTGAATTTTATTGAGTTTGTGTTTGAAGATGAATTAAAATGTAATGAGTAGAATTGATATGATGTAAAATAAATGACATATGATAAGATTTGATTGTTATTTAAAACTATGTGAGTGAACGATTAGTAATTTTTTTTTTTTGAAAACGGAGTAATACTGATAGTGATTGATTGAGTTGGATTTGAGTGTAACTTTGAGTTAAATTTTTAGATTTAACACTGTTAAAAGGAGATTTTGAAGTGAATTTATAATTAGTTAGTTCTGGATTGAATTTATATGCACCTTAAATCTAGGACTGATTTTGGTGCTCATTTTTTCACTTAAAATTTTTCATACAGAAACCGTCGGCATTTGGTGCTCATTTTTTTTTCGCTTGATTCCTCAATGTCGGCTGCGACGGCGTCGTTTTGACCATAACTATAATTTTGCTTCCTTCAATCCTTCTGCAAGTAAGTCTTCCCCGACAAATTATTGCAATTGTGTTTCTCTTTCTTATATGCCCATGCCGATTTCATTGATAAAGTGTGGATTTTTATGTGTTTGGTTGATTTGATTCTGTTCATGCTCTTTCTCTTCAGAGCTTCATCTATTTTTTGCGTTTCTTTTTAATTAGCTTAGTTAATCCGGCAGATCCATTTGTTTTATTGGTCCCATTTTGTAAAAGATTTCAGATTTAATTGAATTTTCGGCTCAAAATCGGATTAAAGTTGGGATAAGCAGGGCATGGAGGCGCAGCTAGTGCTAAACCCCTTAAACCCCCTTCAAGTGACCTCCGAAAACACGAAAAAATGCTCAAACTTACCGTGAAGATTCAACTTAGTGTATAATATATTTGCATAATATTTATATTGGTGCATCTGGATATTCATTTCAAGTGTTTATGATCGATTGAACATACTGTATACTTGCCACATTAATTTGCTTGCTTCACTCTTCGTTCTTATCACATTTTCTAACTCAAGAGTATTTGTATTTCATATCTCCTCTTTGAATTCTTGTAGAAAAATCAAAAACTGTCAAATTACAACATTATAAATAAATTTAGCATATAAAACTCCTCTTTACTCTTCCTTCACCACATTCGAATCCCCACCCGAGAACAAATCGTTGCAAAGCTCCCCATAAAACCGGCTCACCAAACCAATGAAAACGGGACACCTCAGATTCTTCCAGCTGTACAAAAGATCCTCGACTTCCGCTAACCCCTTCATCTTCCCTTCTTCCACAATCATCTCTACCAAGTGCTTCTCGAAGCTCCTGCACGACTCATCCGCCACATCATCATTTTCCTCCGAAGCATTCTTTTGGCCCAACGACCTTACGTACGCGGGCGTGATTGGCGAAGGGTATGGTGCCGTTTGGTGATAACCGGACTCCGAAAAGCTCTTGAGATCCGCGACCCGATCCACTTTCTGGGCCCGCCTGAGTGACGTCAACATCGACACGATTTTCGAGATTCGTTTTTCTTTTGTGGTGTCTCGAGTTTCGTTTCTAGGTTTCTTGCGATGGAATCGAAGGGCCCGTATGAAGAGCGGCTTGTGGGGTACTCGGAATTTGAAGAGATTTATTAGGATCTTCTTGCATGGCTTAAGAAGCTTGTGTTTCAAGGTACCTCTAATCATTACCATGATGTAATGTCTTTTTTTTTTTTTCTTTGGTTTGATTTGTTGATAAATGGTGAATGAGTCTTCTTAAGTGAAGGGGTTTAAGTAAAGGGATGAGAGTGTTGTTTTGTGTGGAATTCACGTCTAGTTTTGATGGGGGGGAAAGTGGTATACCATGAATTGGAAAGTGGTGTACCATTTAAGTTTGGACTTTTCAAAGCTCTATATATGTCTCTCTTAGCATTGAAGCATCATTTTTCAATTGGCAAGTCTTTATTCTACATTTTGCTTGAGTTGCTTTTCAAGAATAGAATAATTATAGAATCCAAAGCCATGTTGTTAGGAGCATCTCCAATATAAAATAATATGCTTGATACAAAATTTATCCAAAAAATTCAAACATTTTTAACTTAACTACTTTTTTTAACTCAATTTTAACTCAACTCCACTATCATTAATATTATTAATATAATTAAATAATATCAACCAATATTTATACACATCACATCAACCTTAATTCACTATCCATCCACTCACATAATTTTAACTAACCATCACTTGAAATCATATTTCACATACTTTTATATCAAATCAAGTTTAATTATTATATTTTAAATATTATTTTAATATACCCACTAACAACTAACTATACCACATTTTTCAAAATTAATCAAACCAAACCAAAAAAATTCAAACAAATGTTTGGCAAGTATTGTCGTTAGGCTACCCTAACCGTTAGACAGTCATATCTTCTTACAAAAATATATACTTATATGATATTATTTAAAGTATGACATTTGAGTATGTAACTGTATATGTATATTTGTTGAATATTAAAAAAAAACCTACCTTTAAATGTTATGATGAAGTTCTCTAAATATAAAACTGGAAAACTTTTCCAAAATAACACATCATAATATTGTTCACTTGAGCATTAGACAATCATGATTTAAAAG